CAGCAAATATGTGCATTTATGGATAATAATTGGAAACTGAAAAAAGTTTAATGAAATTTTTTGGCATTATTTTATTTTATTTTATTAGAATACACGGGCTAAGCCCTTTTATACATAGATAAAACAGGTAATATGGTTTACAAAGCGAGAGAAAAAAAAATATAAATAATAATAATAATAATAATATACATAGGTATGCAATTAAAGATATAGATACATGAAGATGTTAAAGTGAACAGTAGTTATTAAGTAGCAATGGGATAATACAGTTTATAAACATTTATAGAGGCTGTTAGCCTCACAACACTTTTAATAACTATTCAAGACTGAGGTCAGATTGTAAATAATGAGCAATRGACATTGGGTATGTATTTTGTTTTAAATCAAAAATATTATTTGCAGGAATTTGTATTTTTTTTACTTGTATTATTATATTTTATAATAAAACACAATGCCATTTTTAAAACATTTATTATAGAATAATTTTAAGGTTATGTCAMTGTTCATTTATACTTATTATAATTCTTTTTATCTAAATTCATACTTATTAAAATGAAACCAATAAAAAAAAATTGGAAAAATAATTCAAATTTACTTTTTTTAAGATAGTAGATATTCTTCACTACACTAAGTACCTATAATATGTATATTATATCAACCAGTCTTTTGTTCAAATTTAGTTTTCATCATATTATGATTTCAATGGAGATTTAAATAACTCATCCGGTTTAATCAGGATAACAGTCCAAYGACACTATTTGTTCAATAATAATACCATTGATGCTCATTACATGTGAATATTATAAATTTCACATTGAGTTTAGAGTATGAAAGGTGAAATGAAAACAATAAGGATTAAAATCAATTTGTATAATAATTGTCTTACTTTATGGTTTCAATTTATTTACAAAGTCAATAATATATGTATATGTTTTTCTTTTCATTTTTATGCAACTATGTATAACATATTTATATCAATTTCTTACATTTATTTATTACAGTATTGATTCTAAATTAATAAACATAATATGCAGTCTGACTAAGCAGACACATTCCGTACATAAATAAATATATACCTATATATTTATAATTTTTATTTGGACACAAATGTCTCTCAATGTCTTTAAATGTATAACTTACATTATATAATATAATAAAAAAAACTTAAGTTACATTATTTAAAGACTAAGGACAAACAAGAGGCCTTACACGGCTATTTTATAAAAGCTGTTAAGGATTAAATTATTATGTGTATAAAAAAAATTGAATAAATAAGTTGGATTAGACCATCTAGTTGTCAACTCCCCATTTTATAAATTATATAATATATCCCTTAAAAATAATATTTCTATATAATAATAATAATAATAATAATAATAATAATAATTATAATAATATAATAACAGAATGTCTAGGAGTAAAAAATTGTAAATAAAATATTACACATTAATATTATTATTATTCCTGTACAGAAGGAAAAATCAACAAATATTATTTTACTAAAGTAGGAAATTATAAATGATTTTATTATGGTTAAATGTTAAGGAGGACATCCTTAATTACATTTCTCTAACTAGATAACAACAACGAGTAGCAAAACAAATGTACACAAATCATATAAGTCAACACGGCCGATCAAATTCCTATACAAAATTATTATTTTGTACTTTAAGCTGCCATATTTACATTCATAAATGTACTCAACAGAAACAATACCAATTAAATAAGCTCAAAAAGTTTCACTTTAAAGATGCATTCGATTTTGCATATTTGATTGTGGTTGGTTAGGACCCTGTGGTCCCGGCTGCGGTTGCCCTTGCATCTGTTGAGGATACATTGGAGGAGCGATGGCACCGCCCTGTTGCTGTTGCTGTTGATGGAATTGCCTTTGTCGTTGGTTCCTAATAAATTGAGCCAACAGTTGTGGGTTGTTCCTCAGAATCTCTCTAAGACGTTGTTGTTGTTCAGGTGGACTGTCGGTGTTGGTGCGCAATGCATTTAGTAACTGTTGTAACGATTGATTAGATACTAGTTGATTAGGATTTTGTTGGTAACCTTGAGGCCTGGAGGTCATAACTTGTTGTTGTTGAAGCATTGGGTTTTGTTGGTTATTGAGTATCATTTGTTGTTGAGGTTGAATGTTCATTTGTCTTTGCTGCTGTTGAACTTGTTGTTGTTGTTGCTGCTGCTGCTGTTGTTGTTGCTGTTGTTGTTGTTGTTGTTGTTGTTGCTGCTGTTGTTGTTGTTGTTGTTGTTGTTGTTGCTGCTGCTGCTGCTGTTGCTGCTGCTGCTGCTGCATCATCATTTGATTGTAATTAGGTTCAGTAACCCATTGATTGACTTGTTGTTGAACAGGAGGAGCAATCTGCATATGTGGTCGTTGCATTTGTTGTTGTGGACCACCTTTTCCATATCCCATGTTATCATGTTGTCGAGCCGCTTCTTCTTGTACTTGCTTAACAACTTGTAAAACATTGGCAGGCGGTGTTTGTTTCCCTGGGACCATAACTGGTCCTTTGTGGGGTATCATTTTAGGTTGATTAGACATATGTTGTGGTGCTACAACAGGAGCAGTATTTTCTGTCCCTAAAGTACCAGTATTCATGATGGCCATACGTCTTCTTAATAGTTGTGCTTGTTGAAGTCTTTGTTGTAGTTGTTGCTGTTTAATCTTGTGTTTCATATTTGGACAGAACAACACTGGGCACTTAGCTTCAGTACAATACTTAGCATGATGGAAGCAAAGTGCAATATATTGTTTACAAATCGGACAATTGCCATTTGATTTGACTTTGCATAGTTTAACATGTTGTACCACCCTTTTCATTCGTTGACAACTTGCCAAACGACAATTTGCATCCCTACATTGGCAAGCATGTACAAGTGATAGTATACACCGACGGATGGAYAACTTTCTAGCTTCTTGAGGATCTGCTTGTTTTTGGTCACCAGGAGATGATCCATCATCCAAATCAAGACCCAATTTCTCCATTGTATGTGGATGTTTTTCTTTTTCCCAACAGGTAATACATAAATCAAAGTCATCACAAACAGTGCAGTGGTATCTGGTTTCCACATGGGACTTACAACTATTACATGTGTAAACAAATTTGTCTTGTCCTTGATTATGAAGTTCATACAACATTGCCATTGAAGAAAACTTTGCCCTCCTAAGTGATGAAAATTCATAATGTTTTTCTCGAGCCATGGTCAAAAATGCATCTCTACCATCCATTAAATCACAGCTGATTAAAGGATCTGGGTCTTGTATTGCTCCTAATGCTGCAGCTGATTGTACACTATGCAACCTAATCACAAAAAACACTTCTTTATGCTTATCCATGTTGTCAAAAATTTTAGCAGAAAGATCGCTACTAGTTTGAGGTAACATAGTTTTCTTTGAACTGCTCTTCCTTTGGCTAGACTTAGATTTGTTTGATTTTTTGGCCTTTTGTAACCCTTTTTTCTTTCCGTCAGGTCCTATTTCAACTTCATCACTTACACACATTTCAACAGATTCTTCAGCTTCTGCTAGTTTTCGTTTCTGTTCTTCTTCTTGGTCAAGTTCTTTAATGCTATCTTCTAAAGCATTTGGCCAAAAATCGCCTTCAAAGTAGGGTAATTCTGCTGCTGAACTTAATTTATCTTCAATAGCTTGCTTTAAAATATCTTTATAGTCCAGAATTATGCGTTCAATTATACCTTTATCAAGCATTTTCTTATACCATTCTTGTAATCGTTTTGGTTTTGGTATTTTTTGTTCAGGGGGATGACAGTGAAATATGTAATCATCACCTTCAGATGGAGGGCATGCCCAAATGTGAGCCATAGTATATCCTAATTGTTTTACATAATCAAGGTAACCCAATAATATTTCATGGTAAACATATGTTCTGTACTGTTTGGGTCTGAAAAAGTTGACAGAATCTAAATATGCAATATAAACTCTTCTTGTGTTTGGTGATGGAGATTCAGACCCATATTCTTGAACATGCATACCAAAGAAGCAAACATCAGTTCCATCAATTTCTTCAAATGCATAAAGTGCTTTTGCCCTATAAGGAAATTCGCCTATCATTTCTCCAGTATCGACAAAGCGGCTTCGCATTCCTGGTTTCACTTCAACTATTTTATCTGAACTGGACACAACACGAATAGCTACTTCACCAGCGCCTGCTTCTTTTTTCTTAAGAAAATTGTTCA